CAAAAACTAGACAAATTATGGGTAATTAAAAATAATCTTACCATAGGAAAGGCCTTTCTAAATATGATGCAAAGCTTAGGTAGTACCCCCAATGACTAGTACTTTCATTCACCTTAGGATTTAAAAAAATTCTGTGTGGCAAAAAACACCACTGGCCAAAGAAAATGCTAAACTGGGAAAAAATATTAGCAACTAATGTCACAAAGGGCTACTTTCCAGGCATGTAAAGATCTCCTATAAATCAGTCAGAATGAAGATTAACATAAATCGACTGTACTTTAGAAAAGAATAAAGACCATCAGTTCAAGAGAAAAATGTCCAAAGGATATGAACCAAGAATTCACAGAAAAGGGAATTTAAAAAATGACTCTTGAAACACATGACACAGTATTCCATTGCACTTAAAAGAAAATTAATTGCAAAATCAGACTACATTGAGATATTGAGTTAAAAAGAGGACACACCAGGTGATTATATTTGCATGAAATTCAGAAACAGGCAAAACTAATTGAAGGTGTTAAAAACTTAGGATAGTGGTTACCTTGAGGGGTAGGAAGCCAGGGATTTGAATGGGCTTGTGAAGTTATATTTCTTGATCTGGGTGCTATTACGCAGGTGAATTCACTTTGAAAATGGGCGGAGCTGTACTCATGATTTGTACACATTTCTGCATGTGTGTTAAATGCCAATAAAATTTATTTTAAAATACTAAATTGAGATAAGTTTTCACCTAAGAAGTTGGCAAAGATCAAATTATTTGGTGCATTATGTCACTAAGGGTGTGGGAGAAGGAGGTCCCTCATATATTGGTAACAGGAATGCAAACTTATAAAACCTTGACAGGGAGATGATGTATTAATATCTGTGGAACTTATCAGTGCACATGCCCTCTATCTAGCATTTCCACCCCCAGAAATTTACCTTACAGATAATACTTGCACCTATAATGAAGATATAATGCATTGCCACATCATTGGGAGATCAAAAGATCAAAAGCTACCTAAATATCCATCAAGAGGGGACTAATTAAAAAGTTCTACAATGGAAATCTTGCAGTGAAATGCTTTGCTACCATCAGCTCTAACAATGAGACACTTTTTGTACCAAGGTGAAATGATCTCCAAATTGTATTTTAAGTAAAAATATACATTAAGGTGCAGAACTGTATGTAAGGGGTACTACCATTTGCGTAAAAAAGAGAGGAAGGATATAAGTATAAATAGTGCTTGTATAAACATAAATATCCCTGGATGAATAGTCAAGGGACTGGTTAAAAAAGGCAGATTTGACAGTGATTACATTAATTTTAAACAGATTAAATGCTGTAATTAGAAGTCTAAAATTGTCAAAGTGGATTAAAACTAAACAAAAATATAATCATATGCTGACTACAAGAGCTATGCCTAAATAAATGGCTGCAGGAAGGTTAAAGAGAAAAAGACGGACAAAGATATAGCAGGTGGACACTAACAGTAAGACAGTGGGTCTAGTTACACTAGCAAGAGATGAAATAGACATTAAGGCAACAAACAATGCCAGAAATGAGACATTTCAAGATGATAATCAGTCTAACAGGATGATACAACCGGTGCTGGAGCTGACTTGGATCCACTTGCAAGAGCTAGTATGTGCATCTCTTCCCATTTTCATGTTCTGTAACATCACAAGGGTAGCTTATAATTGGCATAGTCAGAGTACTTACACTATGAAAATTGGCAAACGCTGCAAATTAGGGATTGTTTCTTCTCTCTTGGAGTGCTAGGTCCTAAGCATTTACCAGCCCACCACTGGATGTAACAACTGTGAATTTGAATACAACTAATTACATGTATAAAGCAAAAAAGTGGGAGCCAAAAGGACAAACTGTGGCATATCTACAATCATAGTTGGAGATTTTAATACATCTATCTCATATAACTGATACAATAAGCAAGCAAACAAAAAAAAATCTGCCCAATATAGATAATGAAACTAAAGAAACAGAACCAGTGCCTTAACCAGGTCCTCAAAACCATGGAGTGGAAGCATTGGAACTGAATTCAAGTTCTGCCTCAAACTCCAGTATTCCCTCGGCTATGGCTTTATTTGTTACAGGAAATGCCTGTGATATTTACCTTATAATGACCATTGTAATTTCTACATTAATATATAAAAATGAGAAAAGCAACGCACATTTTTAAATTATATATAGTTACAGTTGTACTTATTTTTAGAAAGCCTTCATATTTAATATATAATTATAAAAATATAAAATCAACATTTACAAAAAAATTATGAGGATGTCATGGCTTTAAAACAGATGAGTGCTTTTATTAAGGGATTCATCACAACCTTTTTTGTTGGTAACTATCATGGAGCTTATCCTGGAACTGTTAAATCTTCAGTGACTGCTGAAGGCAACAGCAGCAGCTAATTTTTGCAGAGTGATTACTTTATGTCAGGCAGTTTTAAGTACTTTCCCACATTAATTTATTGAATCTACTCAGTAACTAGGTGAGATAGTGTGATGGTTAATTTTATGTGTCAGTTTGACTTGTCACAGGGTGCCAAGGTTAAAATCTATTTCTAGGTGTGTCTGTCAGGGTATTTCTGGATGAGATTCACATTTAAACCAATGTACTCAGTAAACTGCCCTACCCCATGTGGGTGGGCATCATCCAGTCCATTGAGGGCCTGAGTAGGAGAGGCAGAGGAAGGAGAAATCTGCCCCTTTTGCTTTCTGTCTGCATGCTTTAGTTGGGACATCTCATCTTCTGTGGTCCGCAGACTGGGTTTTAAACCATTGGCTCCTCTAGTTCTCCGTTCTTCAGATTTAACTGAATTACACCACTGGCTTTCCAGCCTGCAGATGGCAGGTCATGGGACGTCTCAGCTTTCATAATCATGTGAGTCAATTCATCGTAATTAAGCTGTGTATAATATATGTAATTTATATATTATCAATATATAAATTTCAATATTAATATTTTATAATTCAAATGTTTAATATGTTAATATTTGATATAATATATAATATAATGTATTAAATGTATATTATTATATAAAATCTATACCTCTAGATCTATGTATCTAATCATCTATTGTCTGTCATCTGTCTTTCCTACTGTTTCTGCTTCCCTGGAGAACCCTAATATAGATTTTTAAATTTCATTATCCTCATTTTACAGTGAAGAAACTGGAGCAATGACGAATACATAATATACCCAAAGTCACATACCTAATCCTCAGAGTACTCTTAACCACCAGGCTACACTGGTTGATTAAAATTTGCTTTAAATTTAATATTTCAGGAACACAAAACATAGCCATAAAGCCATTCTATTTCATGTGTATTTCTTAAATGATATCAAGGAAGATCATTTATGTCTCTAAGTTTTTTTGGGGTGGAACAGAAGGCATAGCATGTAAACCAAAACTAGAGTATAAACTATGGTTTCTTTTCATTTAGAATCAATCTCTGCTTTTAAAAAAAATTTCTATGTTTCTCAATCAGAAAATCAGACATCTTTACCATAGCCCCACTTTAAAAAATAGTGATAAAATATACAACATAAATTGGTCATTTAAATCATTTTAGGTGTACAATTCATTTGCACTAAGTATATTCATATTGTTGTATAACCATCATTACGCTCCATCTCTAGAGCTTTGTCATCCTCCTAAACAGAAACTCTCTATTCCTTAAAAAGTAATTCCTCATTCCTACCTCACCCAGCCTCTGGTAACCTCTGCTGTATTTTCCACTTATGAATTTGTTCTTGGTACTTGATCTAGTGGAATCATACACCATCTATCTCTTGTTATCTGGCTTATTTCATGGAGCATAGTGTTTTCAAGGTACATCAGTGTTGCAGTATATATCAGGATTTTGTTTCTTATTAAGGCCAAATAGTAGTCTGCCGTGTGCACGTCCTACATTTTACCGGTTCATCTGTTGATGCCTGTTGGGGTCGTTTCTCCCTTTTGGCTGTCTGCACAATACCTCTGTGAACACTGGCATACAGATATCTGCTTGCGCCCCTTCCTTCAGTTCCTTTGGGTATACATGTGAAGTAGAATTGCTGGATTTTATGGCAATTCTGTGTTTACCTTTTGAGGAATTGTCAGACTATTCTCCACAGTGGCTGCACCATTTTACATTCCCACCAGCAATGGATAGAGTTAGTTTTCTGTATCTTCACCATTACTTGTTGCTTTCCTTTTTTTAAGGGGATGGTAATATCCATGGTAATGGGTACAAAGTGGTATCTAACTGTAGTTTTGATCTGCATTTTCCTAATAATATTGAGCGTCTTCATTTGGCCGTTTGTATATCTTCTTTGGAGATGTGTCTGTTCAGTCTTTTGCCCATTTTTAAATTGAGTTGCTTGTTTTTGTTGTTGCTGTTTTTTGTTTGTAAGGATTCTTTATATATCCTGGATATTAATCCCTTATTCAACATACAATATACAGATATTTTCTCCCTTTCAGTGGGATGTCTTTTCACTCTCTTTGTGTGGAAGTTTTAAATTTTCCTGTAATCCAGTTTATTGTTTTATTTTGTTGACTGTGCTTTTGGTGTCACTTCCAAGAAATCATTGCCAAATCCAATGTTATGAAGCCTTCCCCCTCAGTCTTTTAAGAGTTTTATAGTTTTAGCTCTTACATTTAGGACTTTGATCCATTTTGAGTTAATTTTTATATACTATATAAGGGCCCAACTTCATTCTTTTGCATGTGGATATCCAGTTTTCCCAGCACTGTTTGTTGAGAAAACTGACCTTTTTTCTTTGAATGGTCTTGGCACCCTTGCTGAAAATCAATTGACCATACATGAGAGTTTATTTCTATGCCGTAACCTCATTTTGTAGGAAACAGGCCCTAAAATCCTTTTATAGGTTTATGGTAGATACTTTCTAATAAATAATATGTAAATACACATAATATAGAAGGTCTATGCCAGAGGGGCTGTCATACATAATAAAAGGATATGGTAAAAAGAAAAACAAATACCACCAAAAAAGATTTACAAGCACATTTTTATTATAGATAGGTAAATGTGGTTTGCTGTGGCTAATGGTATGTTTATAATGGATGTACAAGCTTTTCTACATCCCAAAAGGTATAATATTTTTCGTTTAATACTTAAACTAACATTTCTCTGACAACAAGGAAAGTCTGGACTTACTGAGACTTTTAAATGATAAAAGACTGCTTTTGTTTTCCTGAATGTTGCTTTAAAGACTGGTTAATTGAATTCTTTTAGTCCCAAAACATCAAATTTAAGAAGAGTGAAAGAAAAATCAATAATTACAAAAACATGTGATTTCTATGAAGTAGAAATAAAAAGCTTTATAATTTAAAACAGCAATTTCAAAAGATTTGCTGAATTCAAACTTTACAAAATATATATACACAAAATATCATTCCAGATGATCATCGATTTTTAAAAACATTATGTCACAACCCCTAAGCTCTAACCCAAACCTACTACTGGATGTAGCTGGCCTATAATTTTTTTTTTACAACAATAAAAAAAAAAATAACAGTAAAAAAAAAAAAACAAAAACCTCCCAATTCTCTTGTGCTTCAGCACAGGTTACAATGTGCTAGCTTTGATTCCATAGCCACAAAGAGAATTTTAAAATAGAACAAGGACTTCACATAAATAATATTTTACTTGTTATTAAGTATGTGACCAAACAAATTAAAATAAGTACTAACAACCAAAAGATATCTTGATGTAACCAGTACATACACTCTTAAAGAATGACAAAGACGAAAAAAGAAATAAAATAAGTTTATGAAAGCCACAAGCACCTTGTTTTAGAAAGAACACCAAGCAACACAAAAAGGCAACATGTAAGAGGTAGTGTACCACCGGCTAAGATGTATATGTCCCCTGGGGACCCGAATACAGCTTAGTATTTGGGAAAATAAGACAAGTGAGACTGTGGCTTGTAAGTTTTAGACAGAAGCATTGCACATGTGGGAGCATCAGTCAGAAGTGCTCCAGAGTGCTCTGCGTCTCCAGCTGTCTATTGGGTCCTTTGGTCTCAAGACAGTCAAAACATATAGGATACCCTGAAGAATTCCATGTTTATAAATGTCGAGTTCTAGGGAATTCTCTAAGAAAGCTCAGATCAATAGAATTTTTAAAAGAATTAAATACTTTATCAGTTATAGTCCTTTAAAAAATGCCTTTTCTCCTTCTTAGGAGGAAGTCTTGTCTTCCTGAGATTCTTTAAGATTTAGCCAATGCTTTATTCCATGCATTTCATAATATCCAATAGAATCTTTCTGTCTATATTTTCCCCTCTGCAGCGAACTAATTCAGAGACTTTAGAGAAAGCACACAGAGCTGCTTTCAATGTAGTACTTCCGTTCAGTTTTGAGATGAGGAAGTTTTTGTACTTCAATTACTGGAAGTTGATTAGGGTCCTGCGTGTGAAAAAGGAACTTTGCCTTATGCCAGCTGCCATCTTGAATCTGTAAAATAAGAACAAAATGCTTTATTCTGTAATTGTTTCATTAGCTGCAGACAATGTTCTTCATAGACAATGTAGATTTATTTTAAAGATTAGGAATAATGAATAGAAGGTGCCTAGAACAATGCCTGGCACAGAGGAAGTGCTCAGTAATGGTAATAATTACTATAAATAATTGAAAATATGCACTCATTCCTTCCTCTGAGTTTTCACTGGAGGCTTTCTGCTTCTGTTCGTGGATCATTGGACCTGATGTGAACTGAAAAAGCTGCATTATTCCTAATATGAGTAATACCCATCTGGTTTGTGTTTCTTTATTTGGGACTGACGTTTCAGGATGGGCATTCCTCTTGGATGAAAGGGAACGAGCCAGCTCAACCTCTCTGTACTGTATGCAGGAAATAAGCAGCATCACTTCAGTAGAAGTAAATTATAATAACGTTGAATCATCTTTCAGGTTTCTTTTTTTCCATTCTGTGGTTACTGTTTATACAGTTGCTTTCATTCCTCTCTCCCTTTCTCTTTATTACTGTATCCTCTTCTGTTTATGGTAAATTCTGCTATGGAACAAGAACTATCCTGTGGTTAAGATTCAACAAGACAAAACAGAGGAACATAATTGATTAATTTTGTGAAGCTTTTTATACAGGAGTTTATTCATTTACTCATTCACAGAATTATCATGGTATACATTTTAAAATTTGAAGCAACTTTAGAAATTAAGCCATAAATTTCATTATAAATTAAGGCAACTGAAGCTCACAGAAGATGACTGACTATAGACATAAGCTCAGTGTAATACCTAGAATAGAGTTCTTTGTGTAAAAACACTTAGATTAACTCTTATTGTTCAATGAATATTGTTTGAAAGACAAGTACATTTGGCATGGTTGTATAGGATGGAATCCTCCATTTTCTTACAGTGCTTGTGAGATATAAAGATGAATAAATTAGCTCTGGCTTCTGATTTTAGCAGCCTATAAATCTAGTCAGGGAGAGAGGACCATCAGCAGGCACGACACAAGCCCATATATGATAAACAATGTGGACAGTGAGTACTGAGTTCCTCATTTCCAACTGGAAGAGTCAAAGAAAGCTTTGTGAATTCAGGATTCAGAATTTAAGGTGGGCTTTAAAAGTCTGCCTAAAATGTCCACTTGGTGAGAGAGGTAGAGAAGAACATTTTGGAAAAAGGGAATGACATGAGTGGGGAAAAAACCAAATCAAACAGTTGGCAAAGTATAAAAGGGGATGTGAAAATAAGCCTAGTGTGGGGTTTAAGTGCACAGATTCTGACCTGGAACAGATTTTGACAGAAACTCAGGTAAGGTAGCACTGTTCTCACGTATAAAATGGGAATAATAAAGACCTACCTAACAGCATTGTGAGGACTTCATTTAGTCCTCGCAGTCTCATTTGATTTCAGCTAGAAGCCCCTCGCAGTATAGTGTGGCGTGGGCTCTGGAGCTGTACACCCCTGGGGTTGATGTCTTGCTCCTCTGCTAATTAGCTGCATGACTTTGAACAAGTTACTTAACCTGTTTTTACTTTCTTATCTATAAAAGGATACTAATAATAACTTGTTCACAAAGCTCTTCTAATTAATGTGTGCAAGACGTGGTACCTGTCATCTAACAAGTCTCCTCTAACTAGCAGTAGGAATTGCTGTTGATATTATTATTATTATAAATAAATCCGTTTGATGACAGTTTAGGTCACACAGCCAGTTAGAGCCCAAGCTAGGAAGGTAGGTTGCGGCCTGACTGTTCTAACTGCTGAATAAAGAGTTGATGATAAATATGGATTGTGTCTCAGAAATAGTAGTGAGTCACTAAAGGTTTCTGGACAAAATTGTGAAAGTTAAATTAATTTGCTAATATTGATCTCTTCACCTGTAGAGAGTGATCCATATACTTTCTTTGAATTGTCTTATTTTGGCGGTGGAGATAATTAGATTTATC